CCTGCTTCAACATTACCTGTAGATTTCTAACGAGCCTTAATTAGTTTTATCAGGTGTGTTTAATTAGAGTTACAGCTTAAAGTCCCGGTCACACTGCACTTTTCTCCCTATAGACTTCCATTTATACGCATGTGAATGCTGCAGACCTGGAATGATAGCTCATGCGACAAATTTTACAGTTTGCAGCATTGGAAAGTTCAAGCTTGGAAAACTCTGAACTGCGAAATCACATCATGTGATTGCTTGAGACTAATCAAAGATCAAACCATGACCTCTCTGAACAAAAATTATGGACCAGTTGCTTGCTTTTTCAATCTCTAAATATTTTGTTTAATCCCACTCCTTTTCGCAGAGCCATATGACAGAATGTTGCATGCTTAAACGTTAGTTTGACTGCAGCCTTTCTGTGCAGACCTGTGGCTTTCAGTAATATGTAAGATGATATTTATATCTGCTGATTTCTTAATTTTGTTATACATTTTCTGTTTTATATATGTTTGCTGCCAAAAAAATAAAATAAATTTGTGAGAATTTACAACTTAATTAATTTAAAGAATTAATAATAGGTAAGAATACTAATTAATTTTAGTAACACCTTGACATACTATTGTGTATGCAGTATAATGCTGTGAGTTGTAACACTACAGTACAGTAATTAACTGTACACAGTTTCCAGTTAGTTACCACTACTGCTCTATTACAGTAATTAACTGGCAACACTGTTGCCAGCTACTCACTGCAATGGTTCGGTTACAGTAAACAACTGGCAACACTGTTGCCAGCCACTCACTGTAATGGTTCAGTTTCAGTAATTAACTGGCAACACTGTTGCCAGTTACTTACTGTAGCCAAACTTTTACAGTGAGTAGCTGGCAACAGTGTTGCCAGTGTTCTACTGTAAAAAAGCCTGGTAAGGTCTAACAGTGTAAATAAACAATTAAAAATATGTTTAGGTTGTCTATTTAATTGCCCTCGTGATGATGGTGTGCTTTATCATTATGTGCGTTTTACTTATAACTAACCTGATTCAAATGATGGATCTGCGACAGAGAAACTAGGGGTTTTGGGGGACATGCATCACTATATCCTTTTTTTCCCCAAACTGTGCATAGTTCAGCTGCAAGTTACTGTACGTCTTTTTTTGGAAAAGCACCCCATGTCCGCTAGTGCCGCGCGCCTCTTTCTCTGGGCAAAAATGAGTTGATTTTTAAAATAATAAATATATAGATTAATTAAATTTTCAGCAAAAGAGACATTTATTTCATATTTCACTATGCATTTCATCTGATCTTTATAGCTTAATTAAACACATATTGTCAAAACCCACACATAGGCCTATTGTATGAAAATGAAAAGGGCATTTTTTGTTATTATTACACTACTATTTGTTATTTGTTGCCTAGGCTATTTTCACATTTGAGGTGCTTTATTGGCATGACAAGTAACTGTACATTCGTTTTGCCAAAGCAGTGCGCGTCTCACAAACAAGACAGTGCAAAAAGGGCAGTAGTGCAAACAAATATGAAAATAACATATAATAAAAAATGATTAATAAAAATAGAATAAAAAATAAAAATATAATAATAAAAATAAAAATAGATTTTTGATAACATTAAACAGGATAAAGGTAATAATAGTAGCCTATTATCATAAGTAAGTCCACATAAAGAGTTCCAGTATTTGTGTGTTGGAGACAGGAGCGGGTATTGTTGGGTGAACACACAGCAGCACACACACTCCCCCAGTAAGATGGGTTCTGTTCGACAGGGACTCAAAGTTGTTTTGTATGTGTTGGATTATTGGGTAGAATTTCTCCCGGATCTCGGAGTATTTAGTGCACTCAGGATATGCAGCTCCGTCTCAATCAGCTGCTGAGGGCACAGCCGCTTCTCCACCGGCAGCCATGTTTTTTTTGTGCCGGCCCGTCTTTACGGCTAGCTGATGTCCGCTGCCCGCTTCTAACATGTTAGAAAATACAGCAAATCAAGCTGTCGGTATCTCCCCGCGGTTGAAATTGTTCGTTATTGGAAAAAAAGAAGAAGAAATATCAGCGCGCAGTAGTTGCTTTCTAGATTATTTAGGCCTATATTCAGCTGTTTTAATCTTGCAATTCTGATAATTAGAGATAATGTCTGTTTTTATCAACTTGTCTGTCATTTATTTCTCATTTGCTACTTATTTTATTAATTTGTTGATGTTAATATACTACATAGTCTTGTATATGCATATCTAAAATCCTTTGGCATTCAAATTTGCTTTGAACTTGAAAGAGAGAAAGAATCGGATATTACCTGTCAGAGCACATTGCATATGCTTTTTTTGAAATAACATTTATTTAACAAATATTTTAGCACATCGAAAGTAATTAAATTACCTGTCTTTTGATTAAAACCTTTATGCAAAAAGATAAAAAAAAAGGCAATATGCGACACATGACATGCATCGCTCTCATGCCACGTTTTGAGGATAAAATCGCTTTTAGGTGCTGCTTTGAATAAAATAAAACTATTAAAAAGCACATTAAAGACTACTCATAAAATAAAACATTCATAAAGGAGTATCTTATGAAAAAACACCAATTGACGGGCTCTGCCTTTCGGTTTTAAAAGAATCATGCAGCTTTAAAAATATAATTTGCTGAAGAGAAATGACAGGGAAAAAAAGATTGAACATATCGGGACTGTCAAAAGAACATTCCTCTTTGATATATTCTTTCGACTCCGACACATCAGCTAAGATTATGAACGACGGAGTGTCTCTCCTGCTTCAGTGGCGTGTCCAGCTGGTTATAAATGAGGAGGCGGAGAGAATGCGCGCTGCTTAGTTTCGGCTCGATATATTTAAATAAAATCTAACAACGAGTTGCTTATAACGCTCAAAAAGTTAAACTCAAATGCACAACCCTTGTTGGTTGCACCTGCGGGATGCACAATGAACCTAACGCGCCATTATTTTAATTCTATATTTGTGAAGAATGAGCCAACCGCATATGCTTAGTCCTGTTGGTCGGGACTCTGCTTTATAACTTATTAGTTTATTACAATAATCACACTTAGCTTTGCCATTGTTCTTCACCACATAGCCACTCAACACATCTTGCGGTCCATCTTTGATGTTTAGATTATTGAAGGTGCTATTGACGTTTTGAGAAAAAAATTAATAGTACTGAAACTAAATTATTAAAAATAAACTTGCGGGACTTCATTTAGCCTATGTCCTGCAGCAACATTATTTTTATTACACTTTAAGTGATCTGCTTAAAGTAGGTCACGTTTATCAATGGTAAGTTTTAGCCTAGGTTTACATCAATAACATAATGTGCATTGTCCTTTACCATACAAAAAAAAAAAAACATAATACACCAGTTGCCTGTAGCCTATAAAAAGGTCGCAAATATTTTTAAATGCATTAAAAGGCAAGCACATATGTTAGCCTTAGTTTGTTCACACTCTGCCTAACATAAATGCTGTATTTTAATATAGCCAATTTTGATTAATTAGCTTTAACTGACAGCCTTTTCTTCTTTTTCCGCGGTTATGCGGCATTATATTTCACACGCATATGCAAGGTGACTGAATATGAAATTAAAATACAAAACATACTGAGCGATTAAGTAAAAAAACAAAACAAAACAACAGTTATACTTTAAAGCAGAACATTGACGTTTTAAAACAAAAAAACGGAACTGAAACTAAATTATTAAAAATAAACCTGCCAGACTTAATTTATGTCCTATTTTCATTATTCATTTATTTTCATTATTCGTTTGTTATTATGTACTATAATTGAAACATAAAATGAGATCGTAAATATAATCAACAACGAAAATGTAAATAAAAACGTAAATTAAAAATATAAATGAACATGTCTAGTCTTAGTTCTATCAAAATAGCAAACACTACATCTCTCTATATTTAGACTAAAAGACTGCTTTATTTATTTATTTATTTAAGACTAATTATTTGTACTGAATGTTTATGCTTTCATTTTAGTTGTCTTTCATTTCTTCAATTCTATTTTTCAAAACGAATCCTCTTTGCACTTAATAAGTTTACAATAAACCAGGTAAAAAAAAAATAAATGTAAGTTGAGGTGATCGCAAGTTCACAACTGTGAGGTGATGTGCTCTACCGGCAGGATAATCTATATTATTTTGCTGTTTTTCATATGCGCACGTTTAAGATTTGAGATTATAACATTGCCATGATAGTCAAAGAAATCAAAACATTATTTTCACCCCAACGCAATTTAATCGGGCACTGAAGGCTAATAACTTAATTCTTATATTTGCTTTTTGACTTCTAACCATGTATCTTTTCTACAGCATAGTATAGTGTAAGAGCATGTCTATTACCAGAAAAACTATATTAAAATTATATTTTAATTGAACACATCACATCACATACAGTAAGCTACGCCTACAGAACAGTCTGTTTAGCATTGTGAAAAGGCAAAGCTGAATATCTGTGGTTAAAGTGCCACCCAGCGGTCAAATGCTGCTGGCGCATCAAGTACCGCCGTCGCCGCGGCATGAATGGCGGCACAAGGAACACATTGAAGTAGTAACATCTGTAGTAAAAGTGAATGGTGGACTAAAGCAAAGCCTTATTTTTCTGGACAAACTATAGATATAAAATGAATACATAATAATATTTAAAGTCATCTGAGTTCACAAAATAGATTTAGTTTAAGATTAAAATAATTACTGAATGATGAACTAATAATTTAGCCAGGTTTTGTGAACTGAGTAAAATAACTGATTCATTAAATAGACCTGAGGCATTCATTATTCATTATAGCTGCATAAAAAAAGCAGACAGTGCAAATCTGCAAAAAAAATTCTGCAAAAAAAGTCATACAGATTTGAAATAACATGAAAATTTGTAAATACAGTAATCACAGAATCCAAACTGTGGATGCTCAGTTGCAAACTAAACTGCCTGAATAAACAATTTACATTTATTGATGGTTGAGTGGGTGAAGTACTCTCCAATACTTACTGTGAACTGAATCTGACAACCTCCCATTATGTAATCCAGGAAAGAGTGCATCTTAATGATCTGAAAAGCAGATAATATATTATTCGTTATGCTGGATGCTGATGAGTCAACAATCAACTCCAGTTGTGTGAATCCTACATCAGCAGTTGTGTGCATATAATATAAATATATATTTTATTTTTTTTTTTTGTTTAATTTTTTTGTTTTAGTTTTTTCACTTTTTACTTTATTAAAAACTTTTTTACTGTTTATTTTGTGAATATATAACAGTTAATAGTGTACCACATCAATTATAATTTAAATATTTTGTAGAACCACTAAATACAGTGCATTACATTTTCTTTTTGACTTAGTCCCTTTACTAATTTTGGGTCACCACAATGGAATGAACGACCTTATTTATTTATCTATTTATTTATATATTTATATATATTTATTCCATGGTCTGTTAAAATTCTTGATTCTGATTGGCTGAAAGGTGTGCATTATTATAGGAATACTACATACTATAGATTAACATTTTTCCAGGGGAGAAGCTTGGACCATACTTTTTAGACACTACATTTCTAAACATAATAGTTTTAATGACTCATTTCTAATAACCGATTTATTTTATCTTTGCCATGATGACAGTAAATAATATTTTACTAGATATTTTTCAAGAAACTTCTATACAGCTTAAAGGGACATTTAAAGGCTTAACTAGGTTAATTAGGTTAACTAGGCAGTTTAGGGTAATTAGGCAAGTTATTGTATAACAGTCATTTGTTCTGTAGATTATCAAGAAAAAATATAGCTTAAAGGGGCTAATAGTTTTGTCCCTAAAATGGTGTTTAAAAAATTTAAAACTGCTTTTATTCTAGCCGAAATAAAACAAATAAGACTTTGTCCAGAAGAAAAAATTTTATCAGACATACTGTGAACATTTCTTTGCTCTGTTAAACATCATTTGAGAAATATTTAAAAACGAATATAAATGAACCAACTGCACTTGAAAACAAACGTTTTTTGGTTTTGTCATCTGTATGAAATGAACGCGAGGTACAATCCGTCTGCATGGCAGGATCTACTCAAATGTCCACAAAGAGTGACTGTTATTTCCAGAGGAGCTTTACCATCAAGACCAAGTTGTAAATTACTTCTGAAGACCAGCGCAACCTGACGAGACTTTATTCAGAGAATGATAATGTGTAACATAGCCATAAGGGTGGTTGGTGTCTTAATCTAGTTTCTTTCGAGAGCGCATGTACATCAGCTTGGGCACCCTAAAAAAGATTTTGTTTGATTTAAAAATTTAGAAACTAAACTTATGAGACAGTTGTTGCTTAGTTTTAAGCTTGGCAAGCAGTTTTGGAGAATTTAAGGTTATCTCATTCAGACAGAATGCCAGAGCATACTGCCTTAGAGGCGTTTCAAAGATGTCCGGCGAGTGAAATGACTTGCCTCATTGGTGTCAAACTCAATTGCTGGAGGGCTGCAGCTCTGCATAGTTTATCTCCAACCACATCCAACTCACATTTGCTAAATAGTCTCTAGTAGTCTTGAGTGCCCTAATTAGTTGCATCAGCTGTGTTTGATTAGAGTTGGAGCAAAACTGCGGCCCTCCAGGAATCTAGTTTCAGACCCATGCCTTAAAGGGACTTTGGTTTCAGTCAGTTTTGATCACAGTTTGAATGCGCTTCTTCCAAACATTTGTAGTTACAGTACCATAGCAACTAGCATGTGCTGCACAGGAAACCAATGAGGATGGTTAATGGCAGACAGGAAATCCACAAAATTAGAAAAAATACTCATCAATTATGCCACAAATCAAGTAGTTATTGAAACAAGAATATATTCATTTTAAAGTCAAATTGGCAGTTTATGTATGAGGATAGCATGTCTTTAAAAATTTTAAACTCTGCACCCTAAGCAGTCAGCAGCAGGTTCGCGAATAGCTCAATGCCAAGAGATAAAGTCTAGATTGGATACACAGCCAGCCTAGAGTGCGGTATGCACATCAGTTTAGCAGCATTTTTTATGACACTGTATATCAATAATTCATATTTTTACAGTACTGTGACAATTGGGTTTAGGGTTAGGGTAAGGGTAGACATTAAAAAATATAATTTATTGAAATTACTCGGTACAACTACTGTTTTTATGTTACTATGACAGTTGGCTTTAGAGTTGGGGTGGAGGTAGACGTTAATAAAATACAATTAATGGGAAATTAATCGAAATAATTTTCGTTAACTTCCAGATGCAACCATATCTGATCTAGCAACACCCCCGCTGAGACAAGCTTTATATCAGCCAGACCATCTTAGACCATCTTAAAGCCAATCTGAAGATGCTGGATTTTTGTGCTGCACACAGGAGTAGTAACGAGCAAAAAAAAAACAAAAAAAAACAAAGCATAACACATAACATTTTTATAGGTAAATAAAAAACATTTTTTTTTTCCAAGTCAAAGTATTAATGATAATACTGTTATTTACTGCATTGACAATAGGGCAAAGTAGCACCAACTTGGACTGAATTCTAATTTTATGCTAGTTTTGTTGAATAATATAAACAATGCAAACAATGTAAATGAAAAATAACAAGATGGTGCGGTCTCAGAAACTTTTATTCTTTGTAAACTCATAAGTGAAGTAACAGCTAGTTTTTGAAGTAAAATTATAATGGTGCCCGATAACATAACAATTAGCATACTGTCCACCCTAAATTACTGAATATTACCATTTAGATCAGAAAGGTGGATATGCACATTGAGACGCAGGTATATTAATGGTTCGAACGAATCATTCATAATGGAGATTCATTGACAAACGACTCGCTCCCTCCATTAGAATTTGAAGTAAAAGCAGGAGAGTGGTGTGTTTCAGGACAGGGATTAGATCAAAATTAACAGGGAGGGAGATAATACATTTTCATGCAAACCAACAGATAAGGCCCTATCATATGCCTTGCGCAATAAGTCGCAAGATGTCTTTTTCGGTTCTTTCACGACAATTTGCTTTTGTATAATGTTATTATTATTAGCAGTATTATATAATATATGCACATTTATATTTGATTTAATAAAAACAAGCTTAGATTTGACTACTTGTCAGGTTTTGGACCATATGGGGCATAGCACGTGTGTTTGGATATCACTCAGTTTTTTAACCTCACTTTGTTATCATTGTTAATTTATTTGTTTGCTGGAAATTAAAACTTAATTTAGAAATAGTTTTGAAACAAATCTTTGGAAACTTTTAATGCTTTTGAACCCTGCGCTTTGGACTTTGAGCCTAGATCGTTAAAATAGAGCCCATGCTCTTTGTTGACAATGCTCATGCGGTCACTCATCCATTGATATAGAAAAGTGATGTCAAATTATAATTTTCGCTATGTAAAAAAAAAAATTGGCATATTGACTACTGGGAAAACTCCCGTTCATAAATATATGTAAAAATGTTTATATATCTATAGCTCTGGATGGCCAGTCATCCACTGCACGTTGGTCCAACATTCATTTAAAAAAAAAAAACTACCCTGTACTAAAATGGCAGCTCTGTTGGCGCATTCCTTCCAATGGACAAAAACAGCGTAGGCGGCATCTAATGTAAATATCTGCAAAAGTGTTCAAAATTCTTCTCTTCTTAATCTCTCTCTGTCTGTCTGCCTGTAATTGCTAATTTAATGGAGGGACTAGAAATTTGATTTATGTCAAAACTGATGAAAATTCTGACAAATATTGCACAGCAAACAGCAAAACTAGTTTAAACTAAGGCCTACTTTAGCTAATGACTATGGAAAAAATAGGATAACCAATGGCTTGCCATGCATTAAAGGATTTGAATGCACTTCACAAAGGCAACCACACAAGCCATTGATTATCCCTTACACATTTATATATGCCTTACATATATATTTCCTCACCTTGCACAGGGTAAGAATGACCATTCCAGAATTTCTGTAGTTCTTCTTTTTCACTTGGTACTTAGGATTAATACACTCCCACTGGATCTGACAGAAAAAAAAATGTTACAGTAAGAAAACACTTCAGCACTATGTCGTTTATTCAGCTGTGCACATGATGGACCGCTTGGGCTTACAGGACTTTCATCTCAGGTCTGAGGTGTGCTTGTGAAATATCTGTGCCCACAGGCTGAGAAGCACATTTGACAGATGGATGTCTAAAAGACTAAGTATAACATTCTGCAGTTCTTCGGAAAAATGGTCTTTTAGAAAACGTAAGACTGATTGGATGGAAGGTAGCACTGAAAGAAAGACTTTCACAAGCATGCTATTGTTGATGGCCCAGATCAGATTGTAGTTTCTCTTGTAATGATGCCTGTCAGGGCAAAAAAAGAAATGTTTATCAAAACTAATGTTTGTGAAAAGGTTCTGGAAAACCTGATGATGCCATCAATCAAAACTACAGGAGTAATTTTAAATGATGCACAGACAATTATCTTAGCCTACTGTAAAGATGTTAAATTAGATCTTCTTGAAGAACATTCAAAAGTTTTCTTCCACCTCTAGAGAATGAAAGCATCAGATTTTTTTCAGCTGAAAATGAGGCACCTGTTTGTAAGCGCAGAGCAATCATTATACACTGATGGTCGAGGAATTCCACTTAACAAATGCAATGAGAGGTGCACGTTGAGGCCCATCGACTTTGCTCCTCTGAGCATTCGAGGGAACGATGGCGAATATGAAGTTAATGGAAATTAAAGCCACAGTGACTAGACTACTAATAAGCAGAGCTGAAAATAGATTTAAAAAAAAGAGAAGCAAATTCATTCAGATGCCAAAGACTGTATATGCAGAATATCCGGTAATGCAAACTACTGAATGTTTTAGTGAAATGTTACAGTTTTGAAGTGACAATACTGAATAAAGTATATAGGATTTATGCAATTCATAACTGAACATAACTTACTGTAGGCACTCGTTCATTCAAAAATACAAATAATAGCTCATATAAGAACAAATTATTTCAATTCGATTTTCAATTATTCTTCTTTCCTTTTTTACTTTCATAAATAAATCCCTCTTAAATGCATTTTAAATCCTTAAAATTATTTTCCTTTACTTGTTTATTGGGGCTTATTGTTTAATATATATAAGTTATCACACAATACACAAAAAAGGTCATATATGCTATTTTCGGTAATTTAAATCATTAGATACTATCTTTTTCAAAAAAATTTTTAAGCATTCATTCAATCATTCATTCATTCATTCATTCATTCATTCATTCATTCATTCATTCCTTTAACACAATATATGATATGTCCCTAAAACACATGCCGTTCTCTCAACACTATTGTTTATACTAGAGTGATCTCCTTCATAGCACAAGCAGGTTTATAAGAAGCATTATTAAATAACAGAACTCAGCTACAGTCCCATATCTAAAAACTTAATAAAACTTTAAAATATTCCAAATGTTCTATTTGTTTATCTTGGTTCTAATTCCTAGATTTTGAATAGCAGTAATATTGATATTAGTATATAACCTCTGTGCCAGCTTTGAGGTTTATTGTTATTTAATGTAATAAATATTATTTGGTTTCCCATGGTCCTAATTGTATTTTTTAAAATGGCTAACTAAAATCTCACATCATAGGTCAATAAATAAATAAGTTTACATTATTGTGTGTACTTTTGTTATTTTTATACATTTTATGCTCCTGTTTAAGCAGGTTTTTAAAAATGATGATAGTTTCATCACTAGACCATAAAATGAGATGAATTCAATAAAAATAAAAAAACAAATTTATTCTCATTTGTGTAATTCAGCAAAATACATCATTCAACCATTGTTAGGGACTGTGTTGCTATGCCAGCATTTTTAGCAGGGAACCACAGACTTCCCTCTCTCTAGACAATTCCTCGCGTTCTGTGTTTTCATGCAAGCTAAGATACATAGTCCCTCCAGTGTGTCTTCTCTGGCACCTCCACTCAGAGTGACAAGCCCAGAACAACTCCCTAAGCATCCAGGATACATTTAAAACACTTCTCCCAACCTGAAGATTGCAAGCCATCTTTTTCCAAACCAGCACTACGGCCTGATTGTTATCTCCACTGCTTCACACTTAACAGCAAACCACCCCAGGGCATGCTGACGACGTAGGTTCAATTAACCCAATGTGACAGTATTATCTGCAAATAGGAGAGATGAAATTCTGTGAACCCCAAACCAGACCTCTTCTTACCCCAAGCTGCATATAGGAAATTCTTTCCACAAAAATATTAAACAAAGCCAAAGGGCAGCCCCACCAGACACCAACATGAATTGGGAACAATTTTAACTTATTGCCAGCAATGTGAACTAAACTCTTGCTCCACAGGTAGGATAACACAAGAGGCATAGCACATGTGCACTGGTTGAGCTTAACTCCCATGACTTAACTCCCACAAACCCTCGAGTGCCATAGTGAGGTTATAGAGCTGGTCCAGGCTTCCATGACCTGGAAGAAATCCCCATTCTCCTCTCCAGCTTCCAGGCATAAACTTTTCTGGGGAGTTATGAGTAATATGATCCCTATTTAGTTGAAACACACCCACCAGTATCTTTAAAAATGAGGACTACCGCAGTTGCCCAATTCAGAGGTACTGTTTCCAAACTCCACGTGGTGGTTTAGAGGTGTGTCAACCAAGACAGCCCCACCACATCCAAAGACTTTAGGTAGTCAGGATCGATCTCATCCACACTGCAGAGCTTGCAGACTACTTTAATGATTTCAGTTTTGCTTGGAAAGGCATGGCAGTGGATTTGAGATTACTAACTGTCTGCATTGTTAATCAGCTATAGATCACATACAACTGGTGTTGGAAGTTAACTAGAATTATCTACATTATTTATAAAATTTCCCATTAATTGTATTTCATTAACGTCTACCCCTACACCAACCGTAAACTCAACCGTCACAGTAATGTAAAAACAGATCTGTATCTGGAGTCTTCTCAATTAGTATAGCTGATTAACCATATGGGTGGATGATAACATCCTTCTGAGCCTGCCAGTAGGCGCAGAAGGCCCCTACAGGCCCATACTGTATCTATCAGCTGATATCCACTGATAATGCTCATTTAATCGAGTGACAAATTTCGAAACGGGTATAACATAGCCAGTCAAGGTCAACAGCTATTTACTTAAACTATACCAGTGTTGGAAAAGAACTGCTTCCCCTTCATGAGAACCTAACAGTTTTGCCAGAACCTCTTTGAGGCTGACCAATAGTCCTCTTCTATGGTCACTCCAAACTCTTAGACTCTGGACTTTTCTCTGTCGGAGTTGCTCACGGTGAGAGGTGGTAGGCAGGTGTGAGCTTGCTTAAACAGTCCTTTGGAGAAGAAGGCATTAACATGATATAATAAGCTTACAGATGTAAGTTTGTAGAGAAATTATTATTGCCTTTAATTTACAACCAATAAGAATGAAGGACCACAGCTATCAAAAAATAGTCAAGTGTACATTAAAGACTTTTAAAGACTGACTAAAGGTTTTCTATTTTAAATAAATGCCTTGTATTCATCAAAAAAGTTTCTAAAAACTGCATCAAAAGTTCCCCAAATCTGTTATGTTAGACAACAACAAAAGCCTTGAGGTGTTTGTTTCTTGAAGTACTTCTTATCAGCAGACAGTATGGTTCATGACTACAACACTTAACTGTCAAAACATGACCTTGCAGTCATCTGACACAGCACAAATACACATCCAACTTTTCTCGCATGTGCTTTTTAGAAGTCACCTTTTTTTCTTCACTCTTATTCTTCTACCACTCTTTTCTCAGTTTATTCCATTATGTGTCATTTTCTTCCTATAGCCCCTCTCATTACTGTCCCTGCAGGTAACACTGTCCACAGTGACAATACATCAGAATCCTCCATATAATCAAGGACAAAAGGAAGTCAAAAAGAAGAATATGAGAGATGCAAACAGACAGACAGACAGTTCCAAAACACATAGGATGAGTCAAGAATAGGAGATAGGAATAGAAAGAAACCTAACAAATAGAACAAAAATAAAGAAAACTTACAAAGTGAGACATAAGATAAATAGTGTCAGGCCAGTTTCACACCACCTGCAAAGGTGTACATAAGAGAAGATGCAGCGTAATGTAACAGCATTGTGGTTTCACACTGACAAACTCACCAGCATATATAGCTGCAGACTATAAAAATAAACCATATCCTCTGAGCTACACAAGGAGGTTGTGGGGAGTCAACGGATCGTTCCAGAACCGAACAAGCCACAGACCATGTTATCCTTAAAAGATTGGTTGGTGCCTACGAGTCTGAGATTGATTTCATTTTCAAAGCAATCCACAGGCACCCAGCAAAAGGCAAATCCACAGGGTACCTAGCCAGTCAACATCACAGTTGCGTGTTAATTAACTTTACACCCTAAAACAATAAGAGGCTCTACAATCAAAAACCCACCAAACCGGTTTTTGAGAAGTACCTTTTGGTTCGCTTGTCCTTTGGCGTCTGCAAGGAATACACATTCTCAGGCAGACACAGAAGCGATCAGAAACGCTTCCAAAGTTTAATGGACATTTAAGTAAAACAGTTTATTTGAGTAATGTATGTTTACTTTATGTTTCTGTAGGTTTTTGTGTGTACATGTTCCATGTGTTTAACAAAACTGTTATAGATAGTTCTTGAGTAATAGCCCTCAGTGACAAATGAAATCTACAGAATGTTTATGACATACTTCATGTTTGGTATTGATTGAAAGCTAGGAAAGTTTCAAATGCATTGGTTTATATGAAGAAACCATATTATGAAAGGTGTCCATGTTATGAGACTTTATTTTAACAACTATGCTATCAAAGCAGCACCAACACAATTTGTCAACCCGGCCTTCTAGAGGGCAGAATTGGGGTGTGACTCCACCCCGCACCTTCTCTGATTGGACAAGTATTGTGTAGACCCAGCCTCTACCAAAGCCTATAAAACTTTGAACAAAGAAATTTCATCGTCGTCTTTTGCCGGTCATCTTTGCCAGTCGT